CCCCCCTACAACAAATTATAGCAGTCTGTTTGTCACCACAGGAATTTCACCCGACTTCTGTTCTTCAGGCACTTTTGCCCCTTTGCTCATATGGTCCTCATGGAAAAGGACTCCTGCAACCCTCCCCCAAGTCTTGGGCCAATTGTGTGTAGGAGACTGGGGTATGTGACTCCATAGTGTCCCACCCATCACATCCCTCCCACCAGCAGGTGAGTTGAGAGGTCTAGGCATAAGGTAGCAGCTAGCTTCAATTTTACTGAAATAGAGGCATAGAGATCCAAAGATTAACCACTGTGCTTTGCAAAGAGCAGCTTGTGTCCCGTATCAGAAAGCAGCATCCACTGTAAGAAGACACACAGAGCAGCACTCAGAAAGGTCAGATAGGGTCACTCAGTGATTTTAATTCACAGGGAGTCTGCCTAAGAGCAGGTATTGGTTTGAAAGGGGGTGAGGATAGCAGAGAAGAAAAGGCTAGAAAAAAACAGAGGGTAATAAAAACCTAACTCATAGCTGAACCAGTATTGCAGTATGGCCCCAAGAAACATGGGCATAAAATATATCTGAGTAGCAGAGGAAAGAGTGTTTACAGTGATGAGCAGATATTTGCTTCCTCCTGCTCATAGAAACAGGCCTTTGTGAGTAAACAGGATACATCCCTGATATCTACTCTTTGCTGGAACAGTGCTTGGGATGTTTCTGATTCATTCACACGGAATGGAGTAAAACCGGTCACATTTGTGGCTACCAAGTAGAGGAATATCAGTTGGTTCAGCAGTGACTTCCCAAGGAACATTATTAATAATTTCAAGGAAAGATAAATTTATCTTTTCTCTGTCCTCTTCTGAAGAGAGCAGAGGTGGAATCTGTAGAATTTTTAAAAGCTGTTTCTATTTCCTACTACACATGACTTTAGGTCCTGTAAGAACAGTGTGCCTGCTGGAACCATGCCATTTCAAGGGTATGTGGTCAGTTTGGAATATTTTTGTAAGAGGACAGAATGATTTGATGAATTTTCAGTGTTTGTTTTGACTCAAATACTTGATAAAGCTTTGGCCAGAAAATTTGGAAAGAGGTATTTGGGGCACTTTTAGCTCTATATCAACATCTGCTATCTTAACCAACATCAAAAACTGCTGAGAAGAATGAAAGCTCTCAGTAATAAAGATGCTAACTTCAAAGTGGAATGGTCTGGAAAGATGAGGAAATTAACAAGGGTGTTCCCAATTTGCCAAAGTCTAGATATATTTGCTGATAAAAGGAAAAGAGCAGCAGTGTATTAGAATTCTGTGCAGTGTCTGCATGCATGTCTGACTGTGTACAAGTACATACCAGTTTAACCTCTTCACAGCACCTGTCCAGCTTCCACAAAGATTTTCTGGGGAGAAGGCAGTAGTTTCATGGCACGTGCAGGTGAACATGGGGGTGACACTGCTCAGGAAAGAC